ACCAGACTACACAGCGCAACAACCCAGAAGACGGAAATCTTCATGAAATTATGTGTTTTGAAAATAAATTAGTTCCAACAAAACTGACATTATCTGCGATGTTTATTACTAAAGGGATCAAGAATTGAATATATAGTAAAATTTTGGGGAGTTTTCACATGTAGAGAAGCGTGCATTTTGTTTGGGCAAACGTGGTAATTGACTTAAAGTGTTTGCTTATGTCGGTAGAGGAAACTTGGCTGAGTATAGTCTGCTGAAAGAGGGAACGCAGGAGGCATGCGTAATCTGTGTGCGTCGCGATGGCATACTTAGAATTACGATCAGTCAGTGGCAGTGGTGTTGTAATCTGCTGTAGTGATACTCCAACGCACGAGTAGTTTGAGGGAATGTGAGTCACACGCACATTTCATTGTGACCGCAGTTTTCGTTCATTTCTCGTACAGCGATAGACGTGAATGTGGCTTCGTAATTTGTGATGCTCAGAAATCTCACAAGATGAGCACTCTCTTATGTTCCCTGCCATCCTCACAACTTGTTTTCTTGTGTTTCTTCTTAATCTTCCAAGAGGTTGCATTTGCATTTGTTGCTCTTTGGTGTTCCAGGCACAGGCAACACGAGTACGGATGGCACGTACAAGCCGTCATTCCTGACAGACCAGGAACTGAAGCATCTAATATTGGAGGCTGCAGATGGCTTCCTGTTTGTGGTGGCCTGCGATACGGGCCGCATAATCTACGTATCGGACTCTGTTGCCCCAGTGCTGAACCATCCTCAGAATGAGTGGTTTGGTTCATGCATCTTTGACAACATCCATGCAGAGGATGTCGAGAAGGTCCGCGAGCAGCTGTCCACGCAGGAACCGCAGAACACGGGCCGGATCCTGGACCTCAAGACCGGCACGGTCAAAAAGGAGGGCCACCAGTGTGAGTAAAATGTGTCCTGGGTGCCTCAGTTAAATTTAAAGGATGCTGATTTAAATTTTATGGAGGCTGCAGATGGCTTCCTGTTTGTGGTGGCCTGCGATACGGGCCGCATAATCTACGTATCGGACTCTGTTGCCCCAGTGCTGAACCATCCTCAGAATGAGTGGTTTGGTTCATGCATCTTTGACAACATCCATGCAGAGGATGTCGAGAAGGTCCGCGAGCAGCTGTCCACGCAGGAACCGCAGAACACGGGCCGGATCCTGGACCTCAAGACCGGCACGGTCAAAAAGGAGGGCCACCAGTGTGAGTAAAATGTATCCTGGGTGCCTCAGTTAAATTTAACGGATGCTGATTTAAATTTTGGGTTTTTTTTTATTTTAGTGTTCTGTCTGACGACAGGTCCATATGAACAGGATCCTTCCCTCCTTTTCTCGGCCTGGGACCTGTTCATATACGTTCTTGGCAGATGATCCAGAGGTGGTTTGCCATTGCCTTCTTCTGTTTGTGAATGGAGTAATTGTTGGGATGCCATGGAGGAAAACTCCGTGTTGCCTAGACCACGGTCTTGCCCAACACAAGTTATAAATTCGGGCACCGCCGGGAATCTAACCCGAGACCCCAGGATTACAAGGTCAGCGTTCTAACCGCTAGACCACCTCATCTTATTATTAATAATAAGTGTTCTGTCTGCCGACAGGTCCATATGAACAGGATCCTTCCATCCTTTTCTCGGACTGGGACTGGGACCTGTTCATATACGTTCTTGGCAGATGATCCAGAAGTGGTTTGCCATTGCCTTCTTCTGTGTGTGAATGGAGTAATTGTTGGGATGCCACGGAGGAAAACTCCGTGTTGCCTAGACCACGGCCTTGCCCAACACAAGTTATAAATTTGGGCACCACCGGGAATTGGTCCCGAGACCCCAGGATTACAAAGCTAGCGTTCTGACCGCTAGACCACTTTGGATTGCTTTAGGAAATATTATTTAATTATTTTGCAAAAAAGTGCTCTTATTAGTGTTAGGATTCTGTTTCAGTGCTTCTAGGTCACCAGACTCAGTGTTAAATTTAGTTTTCCTCACGTGTGTTGCCCCCAAAGAAACCCGAACTTGGAACCGTGATGCATTGTGGTAACTTTTGGCAGGCGTGCAGATGGACCGAGGGGCGGATGACGACGGCCACGCCTCTCACTGCTGCCTCGTGGCCATTGGACGCCTGCAGGTGACATCGACGCCCAACACTAGCGACCTGAGCGGTGCCAACAATAATGCCGAGTTTATCTCGCGCCACTCGATGGAGGGCAAATTTACATTTGTGGACCAGCGTGTGATGGCACTTCTGGGGTACACGCCGCCTGAGCTGCTTGGGAAGTCGTGCTTTGACTTCTTCCACCCCGAGGACCAGACTCATATGAAGGAGAGCTTTGAGCAGGGTGAGTGGTATACGGCCTCAGCGGTTGCGTATCACTAACATTTCCTCTGTGTTGAATTACAATGCGGTAATTGCGTACGCATCGTTTGGATGTCTGGCAAAATTCATGTACGGTATTTACGTAGTATAACGCACATTTTTCTTTCTGCATGTGTGTCCTTAAAATCTGAGCATGTGTTAGGGTGAACACAAATGAAGAGGGAGGAAGTGGCAGGGCAGTGGAGAACTGTACGTACTATGGAGTTTCATAATTTGGACCCTTCGGACTGGTTCCAAAATGTAGTTGTGATTGAAATGGATCTTTCAGAAACAGGTTGTGAAGGCTGTGGACTGGGCGTTCAGTTGCATTCTTTTGTGAACCTTCAGATAGCGGAGAATTTCTCGATGGCCCAGATAATTATTGACTTTGTAGAGAATGCCGAAAGTACCAAAAATATGTGATTTTGGACTTTTCTATGAAGAAGGTTGTGTGTTCTCTTACCAGCACCATAGAACAGACATCATTCTTACAGCTAATGTATCACAAACTAGAAAGCACTTGATGCTGTCTGTGGCAAATATTAGATACTTCACTGTCCTCATAAACAGTTCTCATTTATGAGCTATTCAAGAAAATCCCTGTCCGTGGAATCCGTTGCTTGGTGTGTTAGTGGTTCGTCTGGACATGACTGAAGTGCAGTTAACTGATTCAGATATATGGATTACTTTAGGAAATATTATTTCCTTATTTTGCAAAAAAGTGCTCATATTAGTGTTAGGATTCTGTTTCAGTGCTTCTAGGTCACCAGACTCAGTGTTAAATTTAGTTTTCCTCACGTGTGTTGCCCCCAAAGAAACCCGAACTTGGAACCGTGATGCATTGTGGTAACTTTTGGCAGGCGTGCAGATGGACCGAGGGGCGGATGACGACGGCCACGCCTCTCACTGCTGCCTCGTGGCCATTGGACGCCTGCAGGTGACATCGACGCCCAACACTAGCGACCTGAGCGGTGCCAACAATAATGCCGAGTTTATCTCGCGCCACTCGATGGAGGGCAAATTTACATTTGTGGACCAGCGTGTGATGGCACTTCTGGGGTACACGCCGCCTGAGCTGCTTGGGAAGTCGTGCTTTGACTTCTTCCACCCCGAGGACCAGACTCATATGAAGGAGAGCTTTGAGCAGGGTGAGTGGTATACGGCCTCAGCGGTTGCGTATCACTAACATTTCCTCTGTGTTGAATTACAATGCGGTAATTGCGTACGCATCGTTTGGATGTCTGGCAAAATTCATGTACGGTATTTACGTAGTATAACGCACATTTTTCTTTCTGCATGTGTGTCCTTAAAATCTGAGCATGTGTTAGGGTGAACACAAATGAAGAGGGAGGAAGTGGCAGGGCAGTGGAGAACTGTACGTACTATGGAGTTTCATAATTTGGACCCTTCGGACTGGTTCCAAAATGTAGTTGTGATTGAAATGGATCTTTCAGAAACAGGTTGTGAAGGCTGTGGACTGGGCGTTCAGTTGCATTCTTTTGTGAACCTTCAGATAGCGGAGAATTTCTCGATGGCCCAGATAATTATTGACTTTGTAGAGAATGCCGAAAGTACCAAAAATATGTGATTTTGGACTTTTCTATGAAGAAGGTTGTGTGTTCTCTTACCAGCACCATAGAACATGGATTATTTACCAGACACCATTCTTACAGCTAATGTATCACAAACTAGAAAGCACTTGATGCTGTCTGTGGCAAATATTAGATACTTTACCGTCCTCATAAACAGTTCTCAGTTATGAGCTATTCAAGAAAAGCCCTGTCCGTGGAATCCCTTGCTTGGTTCGTTAGTGGTTTGTCTGGACATGAGTGAAGTGCAGCCTTATGTTGCAGTGCTGAAGCTCAAGGGGCAAGTGATGTCCGTGATGTACCGGTTCCGTGCCAAGAGCCGCGACTGGGTGTGGCTGCGCACATCTGCATTTGCATTTCTCAACCCATACACAGATGATGTGGAGTACATTGTGTGCACCAACACCAGTGCAAAGTAAGTAACCTGTACATCGTTTGCTGAAGTCGTGCACCGCGTTGTGCTGAGAGACGTGTCGTGTCTCGGTAACAGTGGTAAGAAGTTAATGATTTTGTAAGTAGTGTTTAATTTTCCCTGTGCACTTCAGTCTTTGGATCATAACATGTTCTTTACAAAGTGGCTATGGACTGGAAGTCCGTTTGCTGATGTATATTGCAGGTCGCTGCACTCGCAGCAGGCGGACGGTGGGACTGGCACCGAGCCGGGGGAGCAGGTGGCTGCTTACCAGCAACCCGGTCTCGACTACAGTCTGCAGCGACGAGACGCCACTCCCGTGTACCCTCACATGATAGCCTCTGCACAGCACATCCAAAGTGAGTGTTCAACTTTCACTCTCTCTGACAGTCCTGGCAGTGTTGCACTTCTGAGCTACTGCCGCTGTGGGAACGGTAATTCCTTTCACAGATTCCACTCTACAGACAGGACTTATTTTACTTTATCAGAGGTGAGGGATGAGAGAGGCACGTGGAGAAATTTGTGTATTTTACTTTATCAGAGGTGAGGGATGGAGAAATTTGTACTGGACTCGGTTAGTAATAAAGTGCAAAAATTCAGCACCTCTTCCCAATAGCACAAGGTCTGTCATCTGTTCGTTGCTTGTATCTTTACAGCTCATATGCACAGGCTAGCGAGAAGGTACTGGGTAAGAAAATTATTTTCTCCTCATGCATAGGCATGGACCAGTGTGAGAGTAAAAGGGGTTCCCCTGAGTAGTATGTGAACTGGTCCCTCCCTTCCAGGTTCGCAGCAGCAGTCGGCAACTGCCCGCCCGGGTTCGGCGAACGTGTACAGTAGCTATGACCCGACACACTCGCCCATCGGCTACAGTTCCCCCACCACGCAGCAGACGAGCTCGGGCTCCGTGCTGAGTCGCATCAGTAAGGCCAACACGACCAGCCCCACGCCTGCCCAGGCTGCCTGGAGTCTGAGACAGGTGAGTCAGCTAACAGCATCAAGCTCCTGAATGGTGAGCGCAGTTTCCCTGAGGTTTGTCTTGCGATTGCCAGACTGCTTCATTTATAAACATGGACCATAGGGCTGAGCAGTTTGTTGTGGCAGTGTCGGCCCGCTCTTCGTCCATTAAACTGAAAATGTTGCTAAAAGAAGAAGAAGAAGAAGCAGCCACACGCTAAGACGCATGCACCGGAGGAAGTCTGCTTCCAAGTTATCTTGACAGATGTTTCCATGTTGTGCTGCTCCAGCAGTCGCACCTTCATCTCATTCCCAGCTGTCATCTTGGCCGCAGTCGCACCTTCATCTCATTCCCAGCCGTCGTCTTGGCTGAGGGAAGGAAATGTTAGGAATTTTAACGTCTGTGCAGTCTAGCGGTTTACATGTGTGAGAAGTAAAAAGCCACTAGGTTCAGCCTGAAAGTGTAAGCAAAAGCAAAGCCTGTACAGGCTCATGTATTTACGTAAGTTTTGAGCTCACCACGCACTCTCACATCTTACCCTCTGAAGATTTACTTTAATATTATACTTGTGTCTGTACACAGACATACTGAGGTGATGAGAGTTTTGTTGCAGCCTGTGACGGAGGGCTACCAGTACAGCCAGCTGAGCCCATCACGGTCACCCAGTGGGCCCACGTACACCCAGTTGAGTGCAGGTGCTCGTGGAGGGGCCTACCATACCCCCA